CACAGATCACACAACCTTTTTTGTTGAATGTGAAGACGAATTGAAGCACTTTCTGATGAAGATTAAAGACTACATGGTGTTCAGTATGGATTATACCTCACCATAAAGAAAACAAAAATCCTCACAACTGTACCAATAAACAACATTATGATAAACAAATAAAAGATTGAATTTGTCTAGGATTTTATTTTACTTGGATCTACAGTGAATGCTCGTAGAAGTAGCAGTCAAGAAATCAAACAATGGAAGTCACTGGGTAAATCTACTACCAAAGACCTTTTTGTACTGTTTAAGAGTAAAGATGGGACTTTGAGGACTAACATGTTTCTGCCCCAAGTCATGATATTTTCAATTGTCTCATACACGTGCAAAAGCTGGCCAGTGAATAAGGAAGTTTGGAGAAGAATCTATACATTTGAATGATAGTGTTGGTGAAGAATATTGAATAAACCTGGACTGCCAAAAGAACTAAAGTCTGGGTGAGAGTAGTACAGCCAGATTGCTCCTTGGATGGGATGATGGTGAGACTTTGCCTCTCGTGTTTTGAGCATGGTATCAGGAAGTACCGGTCTTGGAGAAAGACTTGGCAAAGAAAAGGGTCAGTAAAAAAGAAGAAGGCCCTCAAGGAGATGGATTGACACAGTGCTGCAACAAAAACTCAAACATAACAATGGTGAGGATGGCACAAGACTTGGCAGTGTTTTTGTTTTGTTGCACATAAGATCAATTTGAGTCAAAACTACCTTGTAAGCACTAGCAGATGGAAGGGAACAATAAAAGAAGCTAATAGTTATTGTTGCCTTAAAATATGGGCAATCTGAAAAGAGTCCCTGTCAAAGCAACAAGAAGTCTGCTAAAATTGAAGCAAGATCAAATACCAAATTTATGGTGAAGTGTGGGTGGAAGAATGGTGAAACCATTGATGCTTTATGGGGACAATCAATGCCCTCGCCCCCAAAATCAGTAGTTTTAGTAGTTCACAAATCGATAACTCTTTTTAAGACAGGATGAGATGAGGCTGAAGAGGAAGCCCACATCATCAGTCCCTCTACATCAGTTTTTAAAGAAAAAAATTGATCTTGTTTGTGTCCTAATTGAAGAGGACAAATGATTAACAACAGAAACACTAGTCAACACCATAGACATCGCAACTGGTTCAGAGTTGATACCGACTTCTTACTGAAAAATTAAAGTTGAGTGAACCTACTTGCTCAACAGTGGGTGATACAATTGTGATTCAGACAAGAGCAGAGTTCTCAATGGAATTTTAAACAAGCAGGATTTAGATCCTGAAGCAGTTCTTGGAAGAATAGTAGTAGCAGATGAAACTTGGTTCTGCCAGGATGATTGTGAAGACAAATTATAATTCCCAGTCAAAGCAACGGCTACTAAGAGGTGGAAGTAGTCTGGTTAATGAAGAAGTGGAGTTGTCAAGCACAAAATTCATAGCAACATAGTTTGGTATGTTTGAGGCATTTTGCTTACTGACTTTCTAGAAGGCCAAAGAACGATTGTTATAGTTAAGTGCCATAGAGTTGGTTCTGACTCATAGCGACTCTGTATAGGGTTTCATAGGAGCCATTGGTGAATTTGAATTGCTGGCCTGGTGGTTCAAACCAATCTTGAAGTCCAGTGCTTATCCTAGCATCGGCTTATTATGAGAGTGTTTTAAGAAAGTTATCCAAAGTTTTCACAGAAAAATATCTTGCTGGAAAGCTTCCCCAGAGTGGCTCTCATCTACAAGATTCCCGCTCTTGTTCTCACCAAACCACGGCAATTTAGTGAGAGTTTTAATGGCAAATTGTTAGGCACCCATCTTACTGTCCTGATTGGTTCCTTTTGACTTCTTTTTGTGGCGCTGTAGGGTAAGCACTGGACTGCAAATTCATTTTGAACCGCTAGGTCGGCAGTTCAAATCCACCAGCTGCTCTTCAAAAACCCTATGCAGATTACAACAAGAATCATTCCCACCCCCTCCACACACAGAGTAGACAGGGATGGGCAATTTGGACATTGGCTACCCAAAATGGGGGG